CATGGGTTCCATTCTGTTTCTGAATTGATCCACATGAGCCAGTATATTCTGTCCATTTTTTTCTGTTACTATTACTGTGTTGTGTCCTTTCTGTACTACAAAGTTTGCCTTCTCTAGATTAGATTCTTTGTCTTTTTTATATCATACACTTTCATGTGTTGAAAATGACATTGTTATGAGAGCTTTAATCTGTCTACCCATTTAATGTGGAGGGACTTTGTAGTCTGCCTATAGTTTAACAGTAATCTAGGTAAGTAACTCTCTATATTATTATTACATGGGAAAATGCTTTTAGAAAGATTTTCACAGTCTACACCACTTTTTCTGTGATTATATTTGATTGTGTGTGGTAAGGTGGTGTTTTATACAGGACGCATCCAATACACTTTAGCCATGAGCACAGACTTTCCTCGCAAAATTCTGACATGTTATCTGAGACCAAAGTTTTAGGCACCCCATTCCTTGAAAATATTGTTCTTAATATTTGTTTTACAGCGGTGGCTTTTCTGTTAGCAACCCAAATTACTTCAGGCCATCCTGAAAATGAGTTCACTAAAATTAAAAACAGCCCCATGCCTTTAATATGGACATGATCCCTGTGTACCAAAGCACATGGTTCTTTTTCTTTAGGCCACAAGTGAATTTTCTCTTGCTGAAAGTTTTTTTTATTTCAGCACATTTTAGGCGCCTTTTTACATAGTCTTCTACATTTTGAGAATATCCTGGTCATCACACAGGTAATTTTAATCTTATTTGTGTCACTGTTATACCACAATGTACATCATTGTGTACACCTTTTAGTATTTCTTTTTTTAAATGTTGTGGGTGTATAATAATATCTCCATTGCTTATTATGCGTTTCTCTACAGTTTTATGTCTTGATTCTTTGTAGGATCTTTTTGCAATTGAAAAATTGCTACATATGTTTCTTTTTATTCTGTTTGAAATTCTACTCAACACTGGATCTTGTATAGTTTCCCTTCTGAGATGATTTAGGTGTAACACATCCATTTCAACCTAATGCAGTATTTTATCTTCTGCATTTACAGATGTTTCTAATTTTTTACTGCCAAAATTTAGTCTGGATACCACATTTGGAATAGTGTTCCCCTTTATGTATATGATGTCAAAATCAAAGGCCATGAGTTTTATAGCCCATCTTAAAATTCTAGAAGATGTGATTTTTGGTAATTCCTTTCTGGGATTAAATATAAACTGTAAGGATTTGTATTCTGACTTTAACGAAAATTTTTATCCTAATAAAAAAAAATTCAAGCTCTTTCTGTGCTCTATACTATTGCTAATATTTCTTTCTCAATATTTGAGTAGTTAGGTTCAGTTGATGTTAATTCTCTTGACAGTTACATTATTGGATGACCTTCTTGAGATAAAATTGTGGCAACTTGTATCCATAGTCAATGTAACTGATTTTCTTGTTTTTTTTATCAAATATTTTCTTATTAATGCCTTTTTTAAGCTTTCAAAAGCTTTATTTCACCTTTGAGTCCATTTAAATTCTGTATTCTTTTTCTGTAATTCTGCAAATAGTTCTATTAGGTTGTTGTATTTAGGTAGATATTTGCTATAAAAATTGGTCAATCCCAGAAAGGATTCTAATTTTTCATTTTAATTTTTTGGTGTAGATACTTATGATATTTTATTTATCAGTTTATTGTCTGACAAAATTCCTCCTTTATATATTTAGTATCACAAATATGAGATTTTGTCACAATTTTACTCACATTTATTGCTATTTGTCATCATACCAGCATTTTTTAATTTGGTTAAAACTTGTTCAGTTTTTTTTAATTTCTCTTTACTTTAAGCACCTATGCCTATATTGTCTTCATATGTGATTATATTTTTTTACCCCCACCAATAGAAGTTTTTCAATTGCCTTTTGAAAAATATGACTTGAAGTCTTAACTCCAAATGGAAGATGTGTCTATCTTAGTAAGCTTATCAGGGTATTAATTGTAGTGTTTTGTTTAAATTTTTTGTTGATATCTATTTAGTTATATGCCAATTTCAGGTCAGTCTTGGCAAAGTATTTCATTCCTGATAATTCATGACTTGCCATTTCTGTGTTAGGTAAGAGGAATGAATCAGAGCATATCTGATGATTCACACATATTTTGTAATCCCCACATATCCTCAAATCGCCATTGGGCTTTCATATCGCCACAATTGGCGAAGCCCAACTGTTACCACATTGGGTAACTTTTTCCAATATGCTTTTTTCTTCCATTTTCTTTAGTTTTGCAACTACGATGGGTAGAATGTGAATAAGTATTTTTCAACATTTAAAATAGATGGGGTGACTATTTTCTTTTTGACAAAAATACTTATTTTATATCCTTTCAGTAGTCCTATGTCTAGTTCTTCTGACTTTATACAGTTTATTAATTTTGCTGTATCCACTTTTAAAATGTCTGTTCCCAGGAGTCCATGATTTTTTGTGTATTTTACAACAGTAATGGAAATGATCTGAAAATGTTTTTTTGCTTCAAAAGTTCCTTCAAAGGAGCCTATAGTTTTGATCGATCAAATTGTTTTAAATTAAGATTATTTTTTCTTAATTTGGGTTTACCCATTTTTTCCCCAGAAATTCCTTGGGATCAAGTTAACATTGTTCCCCATGTCAACCTGCATGGGAAAAGTTATGCCATTCAATTTTACTGTCTCTCTACTTTTTACAGATGTTCTTATTGAATATACATCTGTATTTTCAGTATGAGGGCTTATATTTTCTACCCTTTCTATTCTCTTTTTGTATCTGCACACAGATTGGAAATAGTCTTCTTTTACAGTTTAAACATAATTTTTCTAGAGCTGGACATTTGTTTTTTTTTTTCTTTTGTATTCTTTGTCGTAATATTTGTACTTAATTAGGATTTCAGTTGTGTTGTATGCTTCCACATTGTTTTTAGAATTATTAAATTCATTAATTAATTCTAATTGCTGCAAGAATTCTATACTTGCTTTTAAATTCGTATCATTTGCTTGTAGCTATTGTAGGACCTTATGTTCATATGTAATGTCATGTATACCTTCAATTAATCTTAGAAGAATCAATTCATCTTCTATAGACATTTTTCTTAAACCCAGTTTTTCTTCACAATATCTTGATGCTTCTTTCAATCTGTGTAAATATTGCATTACAGTTTTACTTGGGTTCTGTCTATTTTACAGAAATTTTGTTCTCCCTGCTATAACCAGCTTTTTTTTTGTTGCATGTTTCTTTTTATAATGGTTGAAATTTCATCCTATGTTAACTCTTCCAATATTTTGGGGTACACCATAATGGATATGTTCTTTATGGCTTCACATCTTGCTGCAACCAAAAATAAATCAGTAATTTAATTCTCCCCTCCAGAGGCTCTTTTGTCTTTCAGTTTCTTTACCCTAGCCAATGCTGCTAAGCATTTAATCCTTGTTTCTATGTGCTCTGATTCATCCAACATGGCTAGGAATCCTATAGGTGATTCCATATTGTTATGAAGTAGAGTACTCTCTGGAATAGATGTTGTCAGGTCAACACATGGTAGCTCAATTGGCATTTGCTGTGGCATACTGCTTTTATAACAGTACCTCATTTGCATACGGTACTACAACAATGTTTCGATCATTGTGCCCTCCAACCTTCCTCAGGTGTATATTGATCTTGGTAACCTACAAGTAATTCCAAATTGAACCCATTATTTAATCTACAGGGGTAGATGTTAAAAAGCTCGAATGTATATTTACTATCAAATATTGAACTAATAGCCTTCAGCTAATGTAAACTTGTGCTTTAATAAGTTGACCTGTTCCACCTGCAATTGAAATGGGTTCTCCCCATTGAGTTCTATATAAACTTATGTTTTTTCCACTGTGGTGGTGGGGGTCTCTAAATCTATTTATCTGGTGAAGTTATATCAGATTAAATCAACAGTAGACTGTTCTTATTCCACTGTCCATGTCTAAAGATATCACCTAGTTGTTATTTTTTTTTTTTTTGAATAAATGTAAGAACTAAACTATAAATAGTGTAAATAATGATAACTCATGATCTCAGAAATTCAGACAAAAAATGCAACAATATTGATAATTGTATTAATGATAAAAACATCATAGATTACTGATGCAAAATATATCACAAATTTCAGTTGCATAAATACTTAAATATAACCACTATTTTTTAACAGTCCCGTGCAAGTAAACTGACAAGATAATAAATCAGAATTGTAACTGTTTCAGATCAGAATATCTTCAGCAGTTTTTATCAACATTTAAATTTTGTTTCAAAACCATATTCAACAGGCTCATTGGAAATTTAATGATTTGATTTTTTGACTTCATGAATTCCATTTTGGACATGACAGGATTTAGGCGGTTCAAATACAGCTGGAATATTTTTTATATTTATATTTTGTTTTTCAGCAAAATCAAATTCCAAACATTGTAATCACTTTGAGACAGGTTTGTTAAGAAGAATCTTTAACTTTTATTCCTGTTATATTTTATCAGCTATTATTGTAATACTGTTGATTCCAATGTTTTTCAATTGGAATGTTTTATTAAGAAATTGTCTTTCTATAAGAATTTAAAACCCCAAATGTATATATCCACATTTATTTTTTCCTCCTTATTTTTAACCAAATCCTATACTCTTTCTCTCAGTTCAAAAACTTGCTTCTGTAGACCAGCAAAAAAATACAATTCATTTTAAATTGAACAAAACATTTCTGCAAGTAAAGGTGAGATAAACAAAATTAATAAACATTAAGCCAAAGACACACCTTAACAGGATTATATTCATTGAATGTTTTTGTGTCTTCTTTCTAAAATTAATAGGCAATTTTTCAAAGAGTTTGAAATTTATATTCCTTTAAAATCTTATCAGTCATGAGCAATTCTTGTTTTCCTTAACATATCTCATTGATCTTCGTTTTCTTTGTCACTTTCCAATAATCTCCACTTTGATTCTGGATCATAACAGTATCCGATCACATGTCAAGATGCCTGTAATGAAAGAATTACACACATTGTGGCTAAATCACAATGAAATCACAAATTTAGGTAAGACACACACCCATTCTTTTGCAATAAAACGGTCACCATTAAATTCTGGGTTTTGACATGAGTCATAAGACATTGCATGCTTATGTTTTGAATTCTGTAAATTAGTTTTGTTAAATCAACACAGAATTTATGAATAACTCTGGTCATAGTTCATTTGTACTTTGCTTTATTTTTTCTGACCTCAATCATTTGCATTCTTTATGCTCTATAGTTCAAGGTTGTTATTTTAATTTATTTTTATTGTTAAATTAACTGATTTAACTCCCTTTGTTCAACACACACACAGATACACACAACAAAAACTTTTATGCCAAAGCCAGGCTACAAAATGATATATCTATACTATTAGACAAATTAAAATATAGTATATGTATTATAAAAAAGAGCTATCTGTCTGTCCATCACACACTGTCTGTGTATGACTTTGTATATACAATATATAGTACAACTTCTCTAAACCGAACATCCAAGATGTTCAGTATTGAGGGTACTCTTCGGATTTAAGGAAGAAAAGGCTGCTGAGGAAAGTTTAAAATTTTTATTAAGTTTAGAGTTTAGGATACAAAAGTTAGTTTGTAATGTTGATTTGTTTTTACTTAAAGTGTAGATTGAATACATAAATGTACAAAAAGTAATTGACAACCAATAGTAATGAAAAAATTTGTGCTAAACAAATATTGTAATTTGTGAAAAACTAAGACACTTTATGAAATGTTTAAAAATTTGTGAAATATCTTATTCAAAAACAATTACAATTTGTAAAAGAAGTCAAAAATAAGGATATTCAGTATAACTCCTCTAAGCTGAACATCCAAGATGTTTGGAATTGAGGTTACTATTCTGATTCAAGGAAGAAAAGGCTTCATATTTATGTCAATACAAAAGTTCAGATTTGAAGATGTCCAAATCGAGGAAGTCCAAATTATACTATGTTTGGGGAGTTTTACTGCATATGTATATGTTTGTATAGTGTGTGAGTGACTTACATGTATTTGTATCACTTAATATATATACAAGGACATACACATACAATTCTTTAATGTTTGAAATAAGACATTGGAATAATACATTCCCTCCTACTCAGTCTGGACAACACTTACCATTGACTGAGCAATAAATGTTAAAAGCTAGAGACAAGAAAAAAAGTTTAAACCTTAAAAAAATCAAATAATTAAAAGTTTTTATTGAACTTTTCAGAAATTATTTGGTAATAATTAAATTTTTTTAAAATTTAAAAAAAAAAAATTCATAGAAATATTTTTAGATCTGACATTAAATTAAAATATGTATATACAGCTAGGATCTGATATGCCACGTATACTGTAGTGAATCACCAGCATTCCCTTCATATTTCCATCTGAAAAGTTGCCCGCACACCACTATCTCGTAGCTCCCTCAATCACTACAATTTTAACTGCTTCATGTCTAGGGTTAACTGTTATCGTTCACACATATCTTCATAAACTGTGCCTCTTACCGCCCGCACAACAAATTCCTTCAATAACCTTCTACATTGAGTGGCTCTTGGACCTTGTATAGGGTGAACATTAGTAAAAAAAAAAAAAAGAAAAAAAGAAATACAAGCATACACACACAGTAAGTTGAAGAACAGGATAACTCTGAATTCAAAACTATGAAGAAGGTAACAGCAAACTACTCCACTATCTTTCTCAAGAAAGCAATTCACAGATATTAAAGAAAAGGAATCCACAGAGAGACATGATCACTTGTCCTGAAGAAAGATGAAATTAAAATATAGATAGTTCTGCAGTTTGAGTCCTTTTATCTAATTTTTTGTAAGCTATTAGAAAGAGAATGTTTGATCTTGTTTGTACAAGTTAGTTTCATAATGTCTGGAGTTGAGGTCGAAAATCTATGATAGTAGAACAAGTCAGCTGACATATGCAGAATATATGTATAGTAAGCTGATGAAAGAAATTTGAAAAGAAAAAGAATTTTATATATATATATATATATATATATATATATATATATATATATATATATATCTGATATGAGGTATTGTAATTATTTACACTACTTTCATTGTTCAGACTGTTTAGAATTGAATTTCCAGTTCTTTCTAAATTCTGATCCTTCTCTTTCCCTCCCAGTAGCCTTCTTGCATTTTAGTGGCATTATCACCTTGCTTGCAGTGGAAAGTTTTTAAAAAATAAATAAATAAAGATACATATATATATATATATATATTTTATTTTTGAGCTAAAGTATGCCTCTACCAGTTCAGTCACAGAGACGATCTTGATACAGGTCCCCCAATACATACATGCACACATACAAAATTCAGTTCATGTGATGTTGAGGTTAGTAATTGTCAATTAGGAAGTCAGTTTATTAGTTAACTATGGCCAAAGATACATTCTAAAAGCTAACTATAGTATTAGAAACAGACAGAAAAATTTCATAAGAAACAAAGAAAAGAGTACTGAACTGTTATGTGATATATGTCCTCCTTTATGGCAATGAATGCTGGATAATCTCCTCAAAGATGAAGAAGAGACTTGAAGCAACAGAAATGTGGTTCTACAGAAAGATGCTGAAGATACCATGGACCAAACATGTGAGCAATGATGAGGTTTTGGAGAAAATGGAAACAAAAAGGAAACATATTAAACATCAGAAAGAGGCAATTGAAATTTTGGGAGCACATAGTGAGGAAGAAGGGCTTGGAAAACCTGATACTCATGGGACAGATTGATGGAAAAGAGGGACAGAGGAAAACAGTGCATAACATACTTGATGAGCTTGAGTAAATGGATGGCAAGACAGGGTTTGGGAGAAATAACAAAAAGAAAAAACTTATTAAGAGCTACAAGGGACAGGAAGATGTGGAGGGCCATGATCACCAACGTCCTGAAGGGACTTGACATATAAAAAAAGATCATAAAAAACACATACACAAGTTAGAAAATATTAATAGATATATATCCAGGAATGCAACCAGTATGCTTTAAAATATGATTCACAACTCAGATTAGTTTATAGCGTAGGAATCTAACAAACCAGTTACGATATATATTAATTTAAGAGAATGAAAGAGCTGTGAATGCATTTTACAACTTCTTGTCTATTTTGCCATGCTACACCCCATATTTATGTCAGCAATCCCATATGGAATGAATGTTTTTTTTACTAAACATGTTCATATTATAAAACTAGCAGGGATACTCAGTGGTGCCCAGGGAAAAATAACTTTAAATTTCACCCATTTGTATGTTTGTTAACATATTTCTTCTTACATAATATGAAACATGTAAAAAAGATTATTTACATGAGATAGAAATGAAAAAGATAAATTCAAAATATTCTGATATGCAAAACAAATGATATATTCTCTTAGGTTGACTGGGCTTTTGGGTACACATTACTACTTCACCCACTGAAGGAACAAGTTGTTTGGAGAGACAGCCTAAAAACAGCCAACAGATTTGGCCTGAGAAAAGCATGGAGAAGTCAGATTGAGGCCACCAACTTTGAGAGATATTTATTGTGTTTTGTTGATGTTTATAGCAGAGCTGAGTCACATTGTTAATCAAAGTCACTTGAATTCAAAGAGCAAGTCTGTTGGAATTTTGGAGATTCTGGGAATTAACATATCCTCCTATTACCTACCCCAGTTAGGATATTCCCTTAGCTAGGATAACTCTCCAAGTTTTTGTTCCCCCTGCTTTGGCCAACAACTCTTTGGGTCAAGTCACTTTTGGGTCAATCAACCAATGCTTTTATCCACTGGCCCAAGGACATATAACCCAGTGGACATTTGAGTTATTAAGGGGAATTAACTGAAACTGAGATACCCAAAGGCATGGCACATGGAATTAGAACAATCTACCCCTGTGAACTAAATAAAGGGTTTGGATAAAAATTCCAAGAAGCATCACCTGAAGAAGGCCAGAGTATACAATGGCTGAAGTGTTGTGAAGATGAAGACAGCAGTTCGAACAATGTAAATAGTGTAAATAAGCATTCAGTTCCCATGATAAACATGCTTAATTTTCCTTGAGTAAAAATTTTTTTTTGGCTAATGATTGTCTTCATGAGAATTGCATTTAATTTGTAGCCTATTATAAATACAGATACTAAAGTAATTTAATTTCTTAGAAGAAAAATATAACTTATAGAATAAAATCTGGATTACTGTTTTTCTCCACTTGTCAATATCTAATGCCATTCAAGAAGTAGTTATGTAGGTTCTAATGGGTTCTTGAGAGAAGTAATGAAGGCTCTAATGGCCACTAATAGAAGTTAGGTAGGCTGTAAAGAACCCTTAGGCTCTAACAAGCCCTTGATAGTAGGAATGTAGGCTTTAATAGGCCCCAAGAGAAATAATATTGGCTCTAATTGGCCCCTAATAGAAGTAATGTAGGCTCTAATGGGCCCTGGATAGAAATAATGTAAACTCTAATAGGCCACTGATAGAAATAATGCAGACACTAATAGGCCCCTGATAGAAGGAAAGTAGGTTGAAATGGGCCCCTGATAGAAGGAAAGTAGGCTGAAATGGGCCCCTGATAGAAGGAATGTATGCTCTAATGTCCCTCTGATAGAAGTATCATAGGCTCTAATGGTCCCCCACTAGAAGTAAAGTAGGCTCTAATGGGCCCCTGAGATACACTCTAAGCTTACAGAGAAGTTTTGTGCACTAATAAAATCTTGAATAGATTATTTATTTTTCTTCCCTTGTTACCTTTCAATGCCAAGTGGCAATGGTGAAATTACCCATTTGTTGAAATTTTAAAAATGTTTTGCAGAAACTTACACTTCTCATATCCACTATTACAGCTCTTTCCAGTACTGATGGGAGTTTCCTTCCTAGTCTTTTGTCTAAGGTAGTGTAGAAAGTTAACATCTTGATTATATCATTATTTTCCCTTCTAGCTACACGTGTTACTGATTTTAGTTGTTGCCATTGTTGGAAGTTTTCAAGTGATGTGGTTTTTGTTATTTGAGAAAGCTCTTTGTAGGTAGGCAGAATGGTTCAAAAGAAGTTTTTTTTTAATTTGGAAATAAACAACACATAACTTTAGGTGCCATAATTCATTCATTTATGTAAGTAAATTGTATTTGTTTCATGTAATATTAACATTTGGTGGGTGTGCATATATTTTTTCAAGTTTACACCTTCTTCTTTTGCAGGTGTATTTATTAATTCTATAGCAAAGAGTTGTCCCAAATTGAAATATCTCAGTATGATGAACAATGATGCTGCTCCCAGTTACTTCAATGGTGGAACCTACCAGCAATACATTGACTACAGGTGAGTTAAATAAAGAAAAACTTTGTTGAATACCTCTAGCCAGAATTAGTGAATTAATATTTTTTCACAATCAGACAATTTGAAGCACAGATAAAAGTGATTTAGAGGAGCACTCCAAACTTTTTCTATAAAGGTGAGTTTGTGGTTGATTTCTGTGTCTATATTTATAAAAGTGATTCTGAAGAACATTCTTGCCATTTCTTCAAAATCTGGTTAAATGAACAAGGTATAGCACAATTGATATATTATTCTTCTACAAGGTTTAGATTAGTATGGCACAAGGTTAATCAAGTGGATGTAAAAGGATGTGAAAGAAGAGGATTTTCACAAATAGTAAGGGATTACTAATCAGCCTAGAAAATTGGTTTTGAAATCCTGGTTTTTATTTGAGAGCTGAAACAGATATATAGCACTGATGGGAAATTTGTGAGTATTTCACTGTAATGCAGGTTAGAATATCATTATTTTCGTTATAGTGGCAGGGATTAAAACTGGTGCAGCTGAGAGTAGACTGGAAAATGGAACCCTGATACCACTTTTGTGTCAAAATGTGGAGGTAAAGAAAAATGGCATTAATTAAATTATGGAGTGAGAGGGAATACATTAGCCAAGATATGTAAGAAAAGCCTAAAAATACATTGGCCAAGATGTGTAGGAAGGTAAGATATGCATTGTCCAAGATGAGTGGGGTGAAGCTCAGAGAATGCATCGGCCAAATTGAGGGGAAAAGGTCAGGGAATGCATTGGTCAAGATATGTAGGGAGAAGATCAAAGAATGCATTGGACATAATATGTGAGGAGGAAGTCAAAGAATGTGCTGACCAAGATGAGTGGGGAAAAGGTTAATCAATTCACCCCAAGTAAAGTGATAATGCCACTAAGATACAAGGGGTTACTGGGAGTGAAAGATAATGAAAAAAACTTTAGAAGGAACTGGAAACCCAATCCTAAACACGAAACAAGGAATAGACTTCTACTCCTGTTCAAAAGGTACGAGTGTGCACTGGGTGATAGACAAACCTATCTACTCTTATTTAGGGAAAGAAAAAAATAATTAGTAAATATAATTCCAGAGTTCAAGCAGAGATGTTAGAAGTATAAAGTTGAAGTAGACTTTAGAAGGAACTGGAAGCCCAATCTTAAACAAGAAACAAGGGATAAATCTCTACTTCTGTTCAAAAAACAAAAGAAGGGTGTGAATGGGGCAATAAATTTTGGTGGGGGTGATATTTTTAGCAGTCATTCATCTAGATTGAAACCAATAGATTACCAGAAATGTTTTTGATGTAATGGAATAAGTCACTTCCATGAATGATTACACTATAGGTAGTAAGTACCTATAAAGTCAACTGTCTATGAGAGACTTGAGTAAGAGCGAGAAGATGCAAGCATGTCCGACCTTCCAATTAGTGGCACTCACTACTAGATTGGCCACTGTGTATAACTGTACTGTATTTCATATTGTACTGGTTCTGTACAATAAACCTTTTATCCACCTGGTATTAAGTATTTATTCCCTTAACATGGAATATAACAGTTTTTAATTTACATATATGTTTTAAATCAAATTTTTAAAGTCAGAATGAAACAGAAAATCATATTTCAAGTAAAATTTCAAGAATGTTATGGAATTGAAGTTTTCCATTATTTGTATTTAAGATTGCAACACCTATGGTATAAGACATATGAACAGTGGTAAAAAATGAAAATATATGGTTCACTTGAGCCAACTTTGTTGTTAGGTACATTTTTCAAGGGTTGTATACCTTTTAAACAGGAACCACCTTCAATAGTTTCTTACACAGACCTATAGAGAAGAGACAATGGCATAAACTTTCATAGCCAGGACCTGCCATGCCACTTACATAGTAGGAAACCACCTGCATTCTCCTCTGTATTCCATTGGCAAGAAGTAAGTTCCACTCAAATGGCTTCATCCTGCGAACCACTGCTCTGTGGAACAGACTTCCAAGAGGATGTTTCCCCGATCACTACAATCTTAACTTGTTCAAGTCTAGAGTTAACCATTTCCTTCCCCTCCTATCCATATAAATTACCTTTAAACATAAACCTCTACCATGAGTAGCCCTCGGGCCTTGTTCAGGGTGAACACTGTAAAAAAAAAAATTAAAAATGAAACTAGAACTCTTTTTAGTTG